TAATTTCTTATATATTTTTAGAACTTTATGCAATTTCATTTTTTTTTTTGTACTTTATTTAAACACATCAAATAAGATTACATAACCTCACCAAATAAATTTAAAAAAAATAAAAAAAAAATAAAAAATAAAAAAAACACACCAAATAAAATTACATAAACTTAAAATAAATAAAAAAAACACTATATTCTTCAACCAAAAGCTCATTTTAATTATCTTCACCTTCTTGCAATCCCCACTGGTGCTCAATCAAATCATTCTGACGAGTTACGTGCCAGTATGGCTCTTGCACATTAGTGTACCGCTTAACGATCAATTCATTGTAACGTCCATCCCGTTCCAATGACTCATGTTGCACAGGATCTTTTGTCCGGTCATGAGCATAGTAGATACATGTTCTTGAGTTGTTCATTGAATTCAGCTCATATTCATCGACGACATCATAATCATACTCATCTTCCACAATCATGTTATGGAGAATAATACAAGTCATCATGATGGATCGAAGAGCCTTGACATCAAACAGTCTAGCAACAGACTTGACAATTGCCCAATGAGCTTGCAGGATACCAAAACAACGCTCCACATCCTTCCTACACCCCTCTTGACATTTGGCGAAGTGTTTTTCTTTTTCAGTCTGTGGATGTGGCATTGTTTTGACAAATGTAGACCACCTTGGGTAAATGCCGTCTGCAAGGTAATATGGTCCGTCGTATTTAGTGCCATTAACCCAATATGTGCATCTTGGTGATTTTCCTTGCAGCAGATCGTCAAACACTGGAGATTGAGCAAGGACATTTAGGTCATTCTGAGCTCCCTAAACACCAAAAAAAGCATGCCAAATCCATGTATCAAATGAAGCCACCGCTTACAAAATGATACTTTTGGCTCCTTTTCTGTCATCATAAGCTCTTTGTCATGCACTTGGACAATTTTTCCAAGTCCAGTGCATGCAGTCGATGCTTCCGATCATACCAAGGAATCCTCGCATCTCACCCTTCCTCAGAAGCCTTCGCATGTCCCTTGGCGTGGGTGTCCGGAGGTACTCAATGGTGAATAGGGCTTCAATTGCAGAGCAAAACCACACCAGGGACTCCAAAACAGTTGTTTTTCTCATCCTCGCGATCTCATCCACTTGATATGCAGATGCTCCTTATGCAAGCATTCGCAAGGCAGTTGTAATTTTTTGCTCTGGAAGAAGACCTAGAACACGAAAAACATCATCCTTTTGCACAAAATATGGATCATGATTGCAAATAGCACTTATGATTTTGTTGAACAAACTTCGTTGCATTCTAAAACGATGTCTAAAAACATGATCAGGGAATACGCTGTTGCGAATAAAATAATCTTCCAAGAGCTCTTTACCTTGTCTTTCTCTTTTTCTATCGAAGTTTGCGGCATGTCTGGGTTTGACTATCTAACCCACAGCTTCCATGACACAGTGGGAATGTGATGCCCTCTGCCTTCTATGGTCATCATCCGAGTCCTCCTCCATTGCGAAAGCCTCATCTCCACCTCCACCTCCACCTTCCTCAAGATTGATTAATTCTTCTTGTTGTGCCAACAATCTTTTCTGTTGCTCCACAAATTGTTTATGCACTCTCCTTGAAGAAGACATTGTAAAAAAAAACTCAAGATTTGAAAATGATAAAGAAGGATTCTGAGCTAAAAATAAGGATTGAGTTTGGTGTGAGGATGGATGTAGAGATGTAGGGTTTATATGGACAAAAAAAGAAAGGATGAGGTTCTGGATAATGTCACGTGGCACTACATGATTGGTTAAAAATCTTATCGAAATATTGGCTAAATTATTGCAAACATGAAGTGACACGTGGCGCGTCGGGATTGGTTGAAATCTTATCGGAAATCTATCCACAAGATATTACATTCGGATAATGACACGTGGCGTAATAAGATTGGTTAAAAATCTTATCGTAATCTTGGCTAAATTATTGTAAACAAATAGTGACATGTGGTGCATCGGGATTGGTTGCAAATCTTAGCGGAAATCTATTCACAAAAGAGTACATTCGGATAATGACACGTAGAGTTACGAGATTGGTTAAAAATCTTATCCGAAATTAAAACTATTTTATTTATTTATTCTTTTATAAACAAATTTATAATATTTTAAATGGGCCGGATGCCAGCGCATTTTGTAGGGATGGAGATCGTTTGTGCCAGTGCACTTTTAGACTGGGTGTCAGCGCATTTTTTTAGGGGTGAAGATGTTTTGACCTATTACTGTTCACTAGGGTTTATTACTGTTCACTTGAGTGGATAAATGCGCTGGGTACTAGCGCAAAATCTTTAGAGGTGGAATTGCTCTTACAATGAGCTAGCAATAATGTGGTTCAAATTCGCCTTTGGCGAGAATCAAACCTAAGATCTCTCACTTACAAGTGAAGCGGAATACCACTAGACTGTAGTACTAAGTGGCTACCCGATTTTGTAAACGCCTAGGAATTAATTGTGGCAGTAGCCAACTGCCTAGACTGCTTTTTAGAACATCGATTCACACTACTAGTTTCACCATTTGTCCTTTACCTTTCTTCATTCCTAAATTCCTCAACCAAAAATAAAAACAAATTGATTAGCCCTTAATTTTAATTTTGTATAAATTTGGTAAGGCGTTATGGAAATCTAAAGCATTTCACTGTGGAAGTCAAACTTGAAATTTACTAATTTGTTTTTGCTACAATGGATGTGATTGTTCTGCACGTGCCATTTGGTTTTTTCTCCGGATGATTGTGTATCCAAAACTCAAAAAGTAGTAGTATTAGTATCAATGTGTCCATGGTGTCCTTAACGTCTTGCGGTCATTCGAAATGCTATAGTGGTTATATATACTCATTAACTTTTAGCTCAATTAGAAGTTTAGTCCTTGAATTAAAAATTTGTGAGCATTGGTTTTTGAACTATTATAATATAGAGCAATGGTTATTTTGATTAACCCTATAACAATTGTCATCCATTTTTCACTCTTTAAACCCTTTATTTTTTATGGATTTTCTAATGGACTTAGCCAAAAATACTATTGCTCCACATCATAACAACTCCGGATTTTTAGTTTAGGAACCAAAATTCTAATTGGGCCAAAGTTCTGAACCATTGCTTTAAATTCGAATAATCAACTAAGAATCATAGTTAGAAAGTTTTTACTTGATTCACGTTTTGATTTTAGGATAGTATTATTCACACACCTATTTTTACCTCTCACACACCTTCGTTAACTTTTTGCCATTAATCTTTTTCAATTCATTCGATTTGATGGCCGAAAATTGATTGAGGTGTATGAGAAGTAAAAATGGTGTGCGAATAGCATTACCCTTGATTTTATACCAAATACAAGAAAGAGGATCCAAATGCATCGCTATATAATGCTCTGTCCCTATAGTTTCCTTTCTTCCTATTTTTCTTTTTCATAATTCTATCGATAAAATCCCAAATTATGTTTATACTTTAATTCAACGAAGGGAATGCTGTAAAGATTCAATTTGCATAGCATACTGTGTTCTTTAGAAAATTTAACGTGTAGATCTGGGTGTAAGTGTAACATGGACAACCAAAAGAGCAACACAGAAGGATTCGATATTAAAAAATCTTTTTGTTTCCTTACATTCACTTTTCATTCATTTCTTTTCTTTTACAGACACAGTAATCACAAACATATTATTTAGTATACAAGTAATACGTCTAAATTTAATACATCATTCACATATTTTTTTTTCTATATATTTTATAACTTGGAAGTAAAAAGGGAGGCAACATCTCTATATAAATTACATGGTCAAAAAGTTTGTCATAGATATTGAATAAGGAAGTTGAACTGTCAAGGCTTTTGTGCAACAAACAATATCGTCGTGGACTTGTGTGACAATTTTGGAGATCAATTTGTCAATGTCTTTGATCCCTTATAATGCGAGAACGAAACTCCCTAGCGCAAAATCATATGAATCTGCGTACTATTTTATTGGTCCAAAGCCATTAACACTATTGGTGGTGTTGAGCGCATTTCCAAAGAAAGCTTTGTTGCTTTGTTGTACATTTGTTAGTGCAACTTTAGGAATGGCTGTATCTAGATTTTTGAGATTAAATGTTGATCGAATTAGAATATCATTCCAAAGAGATTTTATGCATTTCTTATGCTTTTAGCCAAATTGGTCTCAGGTTTGCTTGCTAACAAATGAAAACACTCTTGCATTTGCAAGTGGTGTTGGAGACAAGGAGACACATAAGGGCCAAGAATGTAATGATAACTGATTGAGGAATCCATTGTTCATGGTGTATGTTTTTTAAATTGATGCTAAAGTGATTACAAATTATTTGCTTGGGTTAAGCAATTAATGAATGGAGTATCATACTTATAAGCAAGCTAAGAAGTGCATGGGTCTAAATGGTAATGTTAGGGAGGGTAACTATTTAGACCAAATTTCGTAAACTATATGACGTGGTTGTTGATGATTAGATTATTACTTAAGTATTAACGTGCTTATTTTGTATTGGTGACACATCACATAGTTTGCAAATTTAGCCTAACATTTTTCTGATCTAAATTTAGGAGCGTAGAAGGTAGAAGGTGGAGAAACCTATTTCTTTTGATGTATTTATGCACCTCATTTTTTGTTTATTCCCTTACGTACTAACTAATAAGTTAATAACGCATTGGACGCAAACCAGCTAATATTCCACTTTAATTTGTTTGAACTAAAACCAACTCCTTTCTAGAAACTCCAGCATAACAAAAAGTAATGCATGCTTTGCAAAACCACGAACAACACTAACATAAGGATTAATTTTTTTCTTTACACAAATTCATGATATACAACCATATTTACTTCTATATATATGATGTATAGATTTCTGAAGAATCTAAACAAATTTATATTTGTTACAACGGATTTGAGTGCTTCCATCATTAGCGAAAGTACATATAAAATACAATATCCAACAATATGCTTTACTAGATAAAAGTTGGCATATTTTTTTTCCTTTTAAGTTCGACGGCATATGAAGATTTCCATCACCCATTCCTATGGCCCCCCAACCGCCCCCCAACCACCACCATTCATTGGCATCTCTTTTCTCTTCTCTTGTTATTGTGCACCGAGCTTATCATATAAACCAAAAAAGAAAACAAATAAATACAAACCTGATCGCATCCACCACTCGACTCTCCACTCTCTCAACAATGAACATGAATAGTCCCTTTGAAGCTCAAGGCACAGCCCAGGCCAACAATCCTTATGTCCATTATTCGCCTGTTCCAGCGACATCGAATTCTTCTACCAAGCGTTAGTGTTTCCATAGCTCCCTTGTTTCTGTACATTTCTCTTAAGAATTTGGTTTGCCTTCACTTGTGAATATGAAGCATAACATCAATCCTTCATTTACGATCATGATAACTAGTTAACCTTCATTTAAATAAATAAAGGAACATTGCTTTTCCGAAATTTTTGTGCTTTAGTTTTATCCATGCTTACGGAAGATACTTGGTTTCTTACATGTAAAGAGCTTATTGATTATAGTTTGTTGGGTTGGCATAATCTTTTTCTTACGTTATTTCATTTAGTCTGAGACTGTGATTAGGAGATAAGTTGGAACGATTGCTTTTATTTTTAATGTTTCATTTTTATTTTTATTACTTTGTGCTGCAGGTCCGATGGCTAATATGGTTGAGGCACTGAGCCAGTGCGGTAAAAGGGTTGAAGTTGCCACCAGAAGAGCAGAGGCCATGGCGGATAATGTCTGGAACCACTGTGAGTTTCCTTTTTGTGAACTCCTATGTTTCTCCCTTGCTATAAAGTTAGAAAGAAGAAAATTTTCAATTTGTTAAGTTCACTATGTTGGTAGTGTTAGTATATAAGTTGTTGAGCTGATTAGAAAATGTTACAAGGTTGTTATGTGTGTGATGTCTCAGCTCATAGGCTGAGCTATTGTGTAAATCTGTGTTGTGTTGATTAAGTCTCATAGGGCTTATCATTTGACAAGTGTCTTGATCTTAAGATAGGTTGTAATGGATGGTTGAGATTGAATTGAGGATATGTCTCTCTCTCTCTCTCAGCTCCATCAGTTAAGTGACTCTTCGAGCTACCTCAGCTCAGTAAGAAATACAATGATAGTTGTTCGAGTGTTATGCTCTGTGTGTTTCTTCTTCCTTTGATTTCATCTTCTCAACTTTTAGAAATATTGCTCTGGAACTCTGTTAAGTTGTTTTGTGTAGTTGCATTTCTGATTTCTAACATGGCCTCAGAGCCGAGTTCGATCTAAGCTTCTGGGCGTTGTTTCTACGAGTGGGTGAGCTCGGATTCACAGCAAAAGCTTATTGCAGTGATCTGAGTGTCTAGTATGGCTGGATCTGGAGGAGGAGAACTTCGGGCTCCAATTTTCAATGGCGAGAATTTTGATTTCTGGCAAATCAAAATGAAGACCATCTTTCGCTCGTATGAGCTATGGAATATGGTAGAGAGTGGGTACAGAGCTCCGGCGAAGGAGGAGGAACTCACAGAGGCGGAGAGGAAGCTGCTGCGTGAGAATGTTGTTAAGGATGCTAGAGCACTCGGTATTATTCAGGGTGCAGTTTCAGATCAAATTTTCCTGAGGATTGCAACTCAGGAAAGTGCGAAGGCTGCGTGGGATATTCTGAAACAAGAGTTCGTTGGTGATAAACAAGTAAGGTCTGTGAAACTTCAAGGTCTTAGGCGAGATTTTGAATACACTCGCATGAATGATAGTGAATCTCTTTCTGTGTATATTGCTAAATTGTTTGATCTGATTAATCAAATGAAGAGCTATGGTGAGGATCTGAGTAATCAAAGAGTTGTTCAGAAATTATTAATCAGTTTACCTAAGTCCTATGATAGTATAGCAGCTGTGATAGAGAATACTAAGGATTTAGACACCATAGATGCACATGATGTTGTAGCTATCTTGAAGGGGTATGAACAAAGGCTGGATAGACATGGAGAGAGTAGTATGGAGAAAGCATTCACTAGTTTGAAACTTGTCCCGAAGTCTAATAGATTCAGTGGTCAGCCAAACAGTAACAAATATCACAAGAATTTTAAGCCAAAAGAGAAACAATGGAGTAACAAGGGTGATTGGAGTAATAAGGGTGGATTCACTGTGAAGAATGAGGCAAACAACACTGGGGATAAGTGTAAATTTTGTGATAAACTTCACTATGGAGAGTGTTGGCTTAAAAACAAAGTCAAGTGTCACAAGTGTAACAAAATTGGGCATATTGCAAGGTATTGTAATATGAACAAGGCTGTGCAGCATGTGAACTTTGCTAATCAGGTTGAAGAAACTGGAAATTTGTTTTATGCAAATCATTCTGGAGAAGTGAGGAAGATAAGTGATGAATGGTATATAGATAGTGGATGTAGTAATCATATGACATCCAGAGAAGACTTACTTGTTGATATTGATAGGAAAGTGAAAGCCAAAGTCCAAGTTGGCACTGGAGTTTTGGTTGAAGTTGAAGGGAAGGGAACACTGATCATTGAAACAATAAAGGGTCGAAGATATATAAAAGAAGTCATGTTAGTACCTGGTCTTGCAGAAAATTTGTTAAGTGTGGGACAAATAACTGAGCACGGTTACTTTCTTTTATTTGGAGATTACAAAGTGGATGTGTTTGATGATAGATCCTTACAAAATCTGGTGGTCAGTGTGAAGCAGAAAGGAAATAGATGTTTTCCTTTATTTCTTAACACAAACAAGGAGCTTGCATTGAGGACAAATGTGTAGGAATGTGTTAGAATTTGGCACAAGAGGTTTGGTCATCTTAATTTCAGAAGTCTCAAACTGTTACAGAGTCAAGAGATGGTTTTGGGGCTGCCTGAAATCCAAGACAGTGAAACTGTGTGTCAAAGTTGTGCACTGGGGAAAAATCACAGGGAACCATTTGAAGGAAGATTTGTGAAAAACAAGTTCATTTGAGCAACATCAACAACATGCAATTAACAATTAAAAGGCGGAATCATGTTTATATGCACTCAAAAACAAAACTTAACCCATGAACTTCAAAGCCTAGTAGATAGGTGAACCAAGACTCAACTCAAAACAAAGTGAGTTGAGAAATCAATACCTTTGTAGATTCCTCTTTGCATAAGCAAAGGCTAATCACCCAAAAAGAGGGCCTTCATTCCTTGCATCTTAGATCCATGGATTTGGATGGATGAAAAGGTTTCTCCAAGTTCCCAAAATTGAGAACCTCTAAGTCTCCACACCAAGGTAAGATTGGAGAAGAAATGAGTGACCTTGAGGAAGTAAGATTGCTAGATGTTTTCCTCAAGGGTGGCCGGCCATTTCTAGAGAGAAAGGAGAATTTGTGTTTTTCCAATTTCCCCAAAAACAACCCTTAATGAATTTTGGCTATTAAGTCACACTTATACCTTAATTCATTTGAGTGGCAAACTTGTAAATAAGTCAAAACCCACTCTTTCTCTAAATGGCCGGCCTTAGGGTATTCATTGGGCTATTTGGCCCTTTGTGAATCATTATTCATTAAGTTGTCATACAACTTAAGTCAATGGACTTGACGTTCGAAGCCCATTGGGCCTTAAGGTCCAAAACTATCCCGAGGTCTTCAACGAACTTATTCGTTTGATTAATAATCATATTAATTAATCCTTGCCATAAATAATTAAACCATTTAATTATTCTTACACATCTCCGTTGAATCTTCAATCTCTACCTTACACGGTGTACGATCCATTAGGTTCCTTTTAGCGAGGCAGTGGGCGATTCAAACTCTTTCAAATCGATTGTGAATTGAAACTTACTTTCAATTCTCCCGTTAGTGATAATACACTTTTAGGGCTTCCACAAACCATGGTTGACGCCTAGCAGCATGTCATGGTTACCCAAGCTAATCAGAAGAGGTGGAGAACCTATTCAGTTTTAGGATTACAAATGCAATACGGTCTTTCTCTAATACAATACTCTTGACCACATTGTTTGGTTTGATAGTTTATTCATGTCTACTATCCAATGTGAGTCTTGTGCTTATATGATTACCTTGAATGTGATTTGGAACACATTCCTAAATCTCATTCATACTTTGGCCAAAGATTCTTAATCATATCATAGAGTATTCTCCCTCAAACAGTTTGAAGGTTAGAGATCCCTTGTTGCGCATTCACTTGCCTCCATGGCTAAGTGGCTTAACCCCAACGATGCCATGGACACCCTCATGATGGAGTGACTTTGACATAATCAAAGATTAAGGACCTAACCACAAGACAACTGTGATGCCTCAGGTCAAAAGACTAATTTGCATTATCCCAACCATGAGTTCTCATGTGACATGAATATGAGAACTCTTCGTTGATCGTGTTCAGTGAACTCATTCTCTATTGAGCACCTACGTACTTGTCTTGATGTCACACACACCAATGACTCGAGACTAGTCACTCTCCCTGAGAGAAGACATAGCACGTACTGATCTTAACGGACTGTCAATGCCCAATTGACAATCCTATGATCAGGAACGTTTAGGATGTGTCAACGAAAGAATGGTCTCATGAATCTAACTTCTTTAGATCGCATTCTTCCAATCACATATTCCTTGGACTTATCGTTTAAGCATATAACATTTATATGAGACGGCTCAAACAATAATCTTTGCCCTTTACATTTAAACTACATTAGTTTGAAATGTCCGTAAAGTATCATCATATGATTGGTTTTAGGGCACATTTCCAACAATCTCCCACTTGCACTAGAGCCAATCAGCTTGTTCATCAGTGATGATACCTCTTCTGTAATTCATTTCATAAATGGCTGAGTAGTAGGCCTAGACAATGGATATCTATATGTTATCCATAGAAGCAACCTTGAGAATAACGACGTCACCATTATACATGATTCTCAATCATGTGGTTCAGTCTCTCATTTGAGTTCGGACCTTGATGAGACCTTGATTCCCTGGCTTGAGCTATCGCCCCATTAGTGTCATACACTTTTTGGTTGGAACCGAATGGACAGTTCATGAATGAACTTTCCCATCCAAACAACAATGTTGTAAGCTTCTATATGGCAATATATTTTGCATACATGATGGAACACATTAAAGTCATTTACTTTTAACGTTTCCACCCAAATATCTCTTTAGTCATAATAAAGAGATATCTCATTATCACTTCATTCATAATGAAGAGATATTCTATGATGGATTAGATTCATAATCTAATACATTTACGCTTCCATTACGTTACTCTAATTCTTCCTCATTCTTGAGGAATCCATCCTTAGTATTTCTTAAATACCTAAGGATTCACTTGACAGTTGCCATGGTTCTGATCCTGGGCTTGCACTGATATCATCTTGTACCGTTCTAGGTACAACTTATATCAATGTTTTCATACAATATGAAATACATAAATCACCTTTCTGCGTATGCATAAAGGATTCTATTTACGCATTATTTCTTTGGGAGTCAAAGGGTACATTCCCTTTGAGAAGAACAACTTCCTAGTCTCACTAGAATTGTCATTCTAATTGAAGTTTATCATCATATGAGAAACTTCCTAGCATCTCTTGTCTATTTTAGGGATTGATATAATCTAATTATATCTTGAAATCTATCATTATAGATTTCCATCCCATGTATATAGACTATGTCTCCCATATACATTCTATCATTATAGAATGCTTAAAGTCATAACTTTAACGATGAAGAATTCCTTTCATTTTCAAAATTAATATATATCATGTATATATATATTCAAATTTAGGAATATGATCACCTCCC